ATGCTGGGAAGAAGATCAACAGTATAAGGGTGTGTTCGGGGTTTAAAAAAAGGGGTATGGATTTAACAGTTATAAGGGGCATTAGTGTCTTTTCATGGTCATGAGGGCATTATGTTCATTAAAAATATAATGTTTGTCATGTGACCATCACGTGATCACTTTAACGGCAAGATCCGACCGGAACAATGACGGATAGGGTGATCTGCAACTTTTTTGCATAGTTAAGGGGGTTTCTTGCATTTTTGGAAGTTCAGGGGGTTAGTTGCAAATTTTTCCATAGTTCAGGGGGGTTTTTTGCACTTTACTCTAAGAATAAATCCATATACGTATACAAAATGAATGAAACCCATAATACTATACGAAACATGTTGGCATATACCATGCTCATTACTTGCCATATTAGCATTTAAATTAGAATTGCACGCACCGTGCCTACCACTTCTCGTCACCATACTCCTCATACACAATCAACATGCTTTTCTTTTCTTTCACATTTCATTTATATGGTTAGATCATCTAACTATTCCTCGTGTATGGCTATGTAACACAAATTTTAGCATTTAAACACGTAAGCATTTAGCAATTAGGCATGCCCTCAAAACTGTAAACATATAAGCATGTGATCACGTAAGCAAATAAACAGGTAAGCAAGTAAACAAGTAGTTATGCTTCTCAAACATCTAAACACTTTAACACGTAGCACATAATCATGCAATTCAATTTCCCCATGCAATCCCAAGTAGGCCTTTACCCGTCGTCCTAATGGTATTCGAACCATTGCTTTGATACCAAATTTGTCATGACCCTAAAATGATACCAATTCTAAAAAAAATTCGGCATGACCTCTACTAAAAAGGGTTCTACCACAACCTGTTGAAATGCATAAAAAAAAATGTAATGGCCTCACTTGGCCATAAACTAATCTATCCTATCCCAACGCACAATGCAAACAATATACCAATTCCCAAAATAACTATATACATATAATTAGAGTCTCTTCCCTCCAATTCCTTCAATAATAAAATATATACATATATGTATATATATATATGGAAGTGCTAGCCCACTACTTAGTCTCATACTCCTTTACAAGGAACATAATCTAATTACATCAATTTACAGTCCATGAAATTCAGCTGAAATCAAAAGTCCATAATTTACAACATTATACAAATTATACTAAAGTTTTATAGAATAGTCAAAATTTACATTTACAAAATATTAAAGTTGTAAAACAAAAATAGCAAAATATAAAATTTCCAATCCCGTCTAAACTTGTGGTGGATGGTCGTTCGCCACCTCATTTCCGTGTCTGAAAATTATTAATAATAAAGGGTGAGCAAACTTGCTCAGTAGGTGGTGCCTAAGACACACCTCTTGTGACCCAGTGAATCCAAATAATGAATAAGAATAAGAAAATTGGGATCATACCATGTCGGAAAATATGTATATATATATATATATATATATATATATATATATATATATATAACCACAATACCACATCATTAATCCGATACCACAATTGAATATGTCATGCAACGATATGCCATGCCATACAATGTCACTCCCTATTTTCTAAAACTATTTCCATCATCATTTTCAAACCGTTAGTGAACCCGTCCTATGGCAACTCCATGGCGGTACGAGAAGAGGATTGGTCACTGTCCTTGACCCATGGCAACTCCACGGCGTCATTTGGGGCCAGGTAACTCAACCACACTAGGGCGATCTCCCTAGCCCCCTATAGGCCTCACTAACGCCGCGGTCCTTAGGCAACTCCTAGGCGGCTGGGTTTTTCACAAAATCCTTTTCAAAATTATTTCCCAAAAATCCATTTCATATATTTCAAATCAAGTTTTCCCATTTCTTTCCCAATGAGTGCATAAGTATTTCATACATTTCAATGCCATGCTAATGGAGAAATTTATTCCTTACACGTCAAATATTTACACTATACATGCCTCGTAGAAGATTCATAAAAACATATATATATATATATATATATATCATGCTTCTAAATCACCAAATTCAATACTTAACACACAATAGGCATGTAATATATCATTTAGGCATGCTTTCTCATACAACATCAACTAACACATATAAACATATACTTCATTTTGAACAATTAAATCATGCTAAGAAAAAAATAATAATAAATAACATAATTTAGAATGCTATGCAACAAATCAAGTAAAAATTTATCAAAGTGCAAGAAATTGTGCATTAAGAACCCCTACCTCAAATAAGGAGAAAACCTCCAATTCCCAAGCCCTAGATTCTAAAATTCAAGGAGGCACCAAAGCTGAAATTGTTTAAATCTATGTGAAGATCTTGCCGCGCTCTTCGTTTTGCCCCAAATGGCTTCTAAAAATTCCAAGTAATGAAGGAGGAATCAATGTTTAAAGTTTGAAGTAAAAAGAAAAAGAAAAAAGAAAATGAGAGAGTGTGAGAGAGGAACCAGAGGGAGAGGAAGAGAGAATTGAGACCAAGAATGTGGTCTCATGACCACTTAAAGTGGTGGTGGGTCCCACCTCTAAAATAATTTTTTTTTCCTTTAATTTTATTTTCTTTTTATACCTCGCACATACATATATACATATTTAATTCACAATCACTTTAAACACAATAAATAAAATATATATAATGCAAATGGACCCAACTAAAATCCCCGTGTGCAACAATTCCGGTAGCGGGTCCTACACGGGACCATCCGGCCCGAAAAGCGAAAAAATGCAAAAATGACAACCTTACATGTCAAAGAGTTCTGAACTCAATGAAATGCCCCAATCAATTCTCAGACACAACCGGCACACTCCACAGTGTCCAGTACACAAAACGACAAAAAGACAAAAATGCCCTCGCAATGACAAAAATTTCCGAAAAATGGAAAAATAGTGAAAAATGGAAACATCACATAAACCATGCATTGCTCGGTACTTCTTCATGAAACCAGGCCTGGTATACATGATATCATATGCAATATCACTAACTCAAAATTATGATTTCAATACATATACTTCACAACTTATTTCATAACTTACTTATAAACTTATCAATTGTAAGATAAACATACCATTCCAATAATTTTCTAAACTTTTATAATTATCAAATTAATCACAATAAAAAAAAAAAATTCATTATAAATGAAATGAAAGCAGAAATTATATTGTATCATTATAAATAATTCAAATTCCTAAACAATCAATTTTAATCTCAATGTAAATATAAGAACATGAAAAGTAAATTTGGTCAAACAAGGAACCAAAATTCATACAAATGTTATTGTGAACATGAATATTAATATGAATATATACTTATTTAAACATAAGGTACACTCTTCCTGCACGACGCATAACCTTAGCATTGATGTTAATTGATGTGGTACTGCTTGGCTGGGGATCATAATCCTCTTCATCTGCCTCAACATCATAATCCTCATCAGCTGGGTCAGATGATTTAGGGGTACAAGTAGATGATTTAGGGATAGGGGTAGGACAAACAGAAGAAGAAGAAGGATTAGGGATTTTTTCTTCTTTTCGACAGGTAATTTTTGTTTTCTTGGCATCATAGATTGGAGAGTAGGAGAATGAGGCGGATGAACGATATTGTTAGCAATTTTTTGTCCCTTTCATTGATTCTTTCGAGCTATCGTCTTAATCCTACCCATTTCTAAACCTAAGACATACCATAGCAAACTTAACAAGTGTTGCGTATGTACCAAGAACCACCCCTGCACCAATAAACCAACAATATTTCATATGAATCCCCTAAATTAAAACCAAATTAACTAGAATTAAACTACAACAATTGAAAACATGGCAGATAAGAAAAAAAATTTAAACAATTTCTCCGACCAAACCTCTATTATGCACAAACAACATTTGAACCAATTGTCAACAAAATTTGAACTATAAACACATAAAACGAGCACAAAATTAACTGCAAATAAAGTGCAACAAGGAAAATCATACCAACCAAGAACAGAAAGGACACACCAATTTCTGACGATTTTGAACAGAAGACCTAAACGAACACCAACTTCCTTTGCAAATCAATCAACCTAAAATTTTAACCATAAACACCCAAACAAACAAAGGAACACCAACATGCAGTTTGATTTAGTTCCCTTCTCTTCCAGATTTTTTAGCACCCTTCCTTCTACTTCCACGACCTAGAACAAAAAATTGGGAAGGAAAATGACAAGGGCATTTTAGACTTTTTCAAACATAAAGTAAGGATATTTTGGTAATATTCTGTATTCAGATGATTATGAAGTGTTTCAAAAAATTCATTAAATATATATATATACACTACATATACATCGCGTTAAACTTTGTTACTCTTCCAAATAGTAAATTTTTTTTTTTTAATTGACGTAGCCCACAGGCTCCAACAGGTCTCCTGTTGAGCAGTAGATGATTTTTGTCCGTATCATTTGCTGAAGGGTAGTGGTATTGAGGTACAGTATCGGATGCATGGGATTCCCTCTAGAGAATTACGAACCAACCCCATTGCACTATTGGAGTGAGAGATTGGACATTAAACAAGTCAACGTGAGAAAATGTCAGGCAACTTCTGAGATTTATTATTAAATAAGTGATCGCAAGTAAGAGGAAACAACTGTGATATCAACAAGGCAACGTGAGAAAATGTCAGGCAACTTGTGAGATTTATTATTAAATAAGTGATGGTAAGTAAGAGGAAACAACTGTGATATCAACAAGGCAACGTGAGAAAATGTCAGGCAACTTGTGTGATTTATTATTAAGTAAGTGATGGTAAGTAAGAGGAAACAACCAGCCTTTTGTTTATTTCTTCACTTGAAAAAATTCTCCATCTAATGGTTGATTGGTTGACCCATTAAAGATAAAAACAACATACTGTATACAACAGAAAAGCCCTTGCCCTTCGATAGTGCAGGCGTCTTGGCAAACCAGCATAAAAGTCCTGACGCTTTAACCCAAACACAAACCTAGCTAAATAATAAATCGGTTATGGCCAACGAAGAAATTTCAAATCTTGATGAGATGTTGGATTCCCTGCAGAAAAAGATGGATGAAAATAGATCATACAACATGATGTCTCCGATGGTTGGCGAACTGACGGCGCCAAAGGTCCATGGCATGTATGAGGTCCCGGATGTGCTTCTTGAACAAAACAGAGATGCCTATACTCCAAGCTGCGTATCTATTGGGCCTTTTGGCAGATTATGGAGTGAAGATGTAAAGGAGATGGAGGCGGTCAAATTGAGGTATATGACTCAGCTACTTGAGCGAAATGGAACACTTGCGGCAACACTAAGGGAATGTACGCAAGCTATGTTGATGCTAGAGGGCCGTGTTTGGGGATGCTATTACCAAATTGGTGTATATAGAGACATTACTGCACAAATGTTGATGATTGATGGTTGTTTCATAATTGAACTTCTTTACAAGAAATGGGTAGAGATGTCTGACCCGATTTTGCAGAACCATTTGAAGTACCATCAGATCAAACGTGACCTGCTATTGCTCGAGAACCAAATCCCCTTCTTCGTTCTTGAAGAATTGTTCAGGCTGACAGTGGAACGAATCCTGGAAACTACTACTACTACTATTGGCCGCGGAGTCACCCTCCGTAGATTTGTCATTTCATTCTTTGGGGATATGATGGGAGTAGAAACGATTGATGAAACAGAAAACTTGGAAAACAAGTCCCCTTATCATATACTCCATTTTTTACACATTTGTTATCTATCTTCTTTTCAGAAGAAGGCACCCGTATTGTACAAACACAGAGAGAAACCTAGATTCAAATATAGTGCAACAAAACTGCAGAGTGTAGGAGTCAAGTTTGGGACACGGAACAGAGTAAGCTTGTTTGATTTGAAATTTAGTACGGATCGTCCTTGCTTTTGTTTCTGGAGAAGAGGTCATTTTAAAATCCCACGTTTCTCTGTCAATGATTCTACTGAATCATTCTTACGAAACTTCATTGCTTTCGAGCATTGTTGTCCCGGTATTGACAAGTATTTCACATCGCATGCCGTTGCCATGAGTATCCTTATGGACTCCGCAGAAGATGTTAAATTGCTCGAAGAAGCCGGAGTCATACGTAACAATTTGGGTTACAGTGAAGCGGTGTCAGAACTCTTCAAGGATATTACCAGCGAAGAAGCCATTGTAAGAAATCAATACCTTCTTTATAAAGATCTGTGGATGCAGGTGTTAGATTTTTGCTCACCTTGGCGACTAGCGTTTGCTAATGTGACGACACAAATGGCAGTAGCCGCTGTCATTATTCTCAATCTCATCACACTTTTGTCCTCTGTCTACACCGTTCTTTCTTATTACCGCAACTAGCAAGGTAATTATTTCACTCGTGTATCACTGTGTATGACTATTCCTTTGTTTCAATAAATCAATCTCGTTGTTTCAGGCTTTCAGCAACATCAGTAATCTAAAATGTATTTGTGAGAAAGAGTGTTAATGTAAGTCATTTATGCATTGTCATCTTTATGTTTGTCATTCATATTAGAATCTGTATGTATAATTTCTTAATTTATTTATCTCTTGATTGTATGATTCTCAATATCAGTAGTGTTTGATATATTCCCCAATAAATTTTACTACTATTAAGTCAATTTTATTATAACCTGTAGTCTTTGTTCAAAATTGTGAATTTTTGATTCATCTGCAACTATTTTAGAGACACTACATTTAATGGCCAAGGTGAGGTAATAACCTTTAACAAAATACCAGGTGTCTTCTGGCCTTAAAAAAGTAGTTGGTTTTACTTAAAAAATATAGTGATGGGATCTCATCACGATGATATCCAATCAGTGCTTATTAACGGCTATTTCAAAATCATCCTCTTGGTTGGATTGGATGCCATGGGTCTCTATCACAATTATAGTTGCTGATGATGGAAGGAAAAGAAATGGGTCTCTATCGCGTATTCCATTTTATTTTTTTCTTTTTTCTTTTTTTTTTCTTTCCTATGCCTTCTATTTCAAACTCATCAGGAAAAGAAAAGAAAGAAAATGATGAGATGATTTTTTGTATTTGGTAGAAAATTTTGGAAGGAAGGAAAATAAAAAGGAAATGGAATGATTTGGAAGAATACATTAAAATTGTTGGAAACGTGAGTATTAAAAATATAAACTTTAGATAAGACTTGAAATAGATTTCGCTAATAATTTTTTGCGGATCTCAAAATGAGCGCGTTTCTTTCCGCAAGGAGATGAACGTGATATATTTACTTTCTCAAATCCGTTTCTAGGTAAATGAAAAATTAGTTCCAAAGTGTGGTGTTTTGATAAGCCTAAATAGGTATGCAAAATGTTGGAAGTGTTTGTCCCACATGAAAAAAATGTTGAAACTAATTGAAATTTAAATAAGCCAAATTTGGGCTTGGGCTTGGACTTAGGCTTAATTATAAAGTCCAATTATTCTTTTTACTAAATGGAATCTTGGATTGGGCCTTTAATTTTGGGCTGGGCTTATTTAAATGGGTGGTTAGTTTTTTAATTTAAATTAAAAGTTAGTTTTTTTTTTTTTTTTTTCCAAAGGGTTGCATCTGTTTTTCAAAGAGTTGTATCCATTTCTAAAGGGTTGCAACTCAAAACCAACAGACATAACTATTCATGTGAACCATTGCAACCTATTGGAGTGGATGTGTCTATTGGTGAACAGACACCATGTGAACCATTGCAACCTATTGAAATGGACGTGTCTATTGGTGAACAGACACCATGTGAACCATTGCAACTTATTGGAATGGATGTGTCCATTGGTGAACAGACACAATATGAACCATTGCAACCTATTGGAATGGTTGTGTCCAATGATGAAGGGGCGCACCCAATCCGAAAAGGCATTTCTACTTCTATAAATACCCCCCCTTTGGATCATTTGCAAGTTATTCATTTTTCAATTTCTTCTATCTCCCTCTCTAAACTTGAACCCAACCTAAGCGGGTTCAAACCATAGGTTAAGTGGTCCGAACCACTTGAACTCTAATCCAATTTCATCGAGCCATATTAAGATTAGTCCGAACCATTTAGTTCGGATTGCAGCCAATTTAGCATTTATATAGTATAGATGCATTTTTGAGTCACAGAAAGTATTACACAGAGAAGGTTCGTCGTATCTACGAGTTTGTAGTGCCATCATTGGTGGATGTAAACCGTTATATCCTAGGAGATAGACGCCACTGAGTCCGTTAACACCATAGCGGGGCGAATCTGTCTTAAGGACATAGTATCCAATACTAGTCTCGGTCCAGGTTCTTTATTTATTATTTATTAATTTATTTTATATATTTAATTAAATATATAGTTGCATATTTAATTAATCATTTCTTAGCATATTGTTAATCATCTCATAGCATATTAGTTTAAGGGTTGTTATATCTTAAATTTCACATGAAGCATATATCTTTCTAACAAAAATGTGAAGAATTGGTTTTGTCATCCTTCTAAAATGGGAGGGAATAGAAGAAAATATCAGTATTCTTTATTAAACTTTATTAATATCAAAATTTCAAAAGAAAATGTGAGGACGTAGTAATGGTTGTGAAATGGTTGGGAATTTGGCAAGGACACATTTGGAGAAATATTCCTACATACTTGGTAGGTTGTTTTTTTTTTTTTTTTTTTCTAATTTTTATTTTATTTTTACTATTATTATTATTTTACTTTTATTCTTATGGTAGGGATGTTGGGACAAATGATTAGTGTGCATATATTCCAACATTTTAAACGTAAAAAATAATATATTGAACTAAAATTAGATCAATTAACCAGAATTTCCAGGAAAGGGGAAGCTAATTTTCTAAAAGAAAGTGAAATTTCTCCACATGCACTTGCCATGTTATTCTTTCCTTGCCAACAAAGCTTACTATTGTACCTCTGGAATCAATTCTTATTATCATTAGTGTTTGATAACAGTGATATTAAAGGGGTAATATTGGAAAATAAAATTCAGTGTAAATGGAATTATGAACTTAATTTCTAATTTTAAGAGTTGGACTTATTTGTCCTAACAATTTTTTTTTAAGACTTATTAGTCCATACAATAGAAATGTAAGACCAAATAATTTTTTTTTTTTTTTTTTTCTCATTTTTAAAGTTTTAAATTTTTTATTTTAAAAATATAGGGCAACAAAACTCCAAAGTGTAGGAGTCAAGTTTGGGCGCCACGTAAGAGAGCAAGCCTATTTGATTTGAAATTTAGCACGGATCGTCCTTGCTTTTGTTTGTGGAGAAGAGGTCATTTTAAAATCCCACGTTTCTCTGTCGATGAATCTACTGAATCATTTCTGAGAAACCTCATTGCTTTTGAGCATTGTTGTCCCGGTATTGACAACTACTTCACGTCACATGCTGTCGCCATGAGTATTCTCGTGGACTCTGCAGAAGATGTTAGTTTGCTCGAAGAAGCCGGAGTCATACGCAACTTTTTGGGTTCCAATAAAGCAGTGTCAGAACTCTTCAAGAATATTACCAGCGAAGAAAGAATTGTGAGAACTATCAAAACCTTCTTTATAAGGATATGTGGATGCAGGTGAGGGATTTTTGCACACCTTGGCGGCTAGCTCTTGCTAATGCAAACACACAAATGGCAGTAGCTTCTGTCATTGTCCTGAATATCATCACACTTTTGTCCTCCATCTACACCGTCCTTTCTTATTATCGCAACTAGCAAGGTAACTATTTCATGTGTATCAGTGTGTATGTATGTCTACCATATATTCCTTTGTTCCAACAACTCCATCTTGTTAATTAATTCATCTGGATCAGCATTAGTAATCTGAAATGTACAGTTAATTAGAATTGTACTGGTACCTGTGAGAATGCGTGTAAGTCATTTATGTACTGTCATCTTTATGCTTGTCATTTAGATCTCTCTCTTTATTGTACTTATGATTCTCATTATCATTAGTGTTTGATATCTTCCCCAATATTATTTATCTTGAATTACTATGAAGTCAATCTTATTACAACTCGATGATTGAAATTTGTTCAAAATTGCAATATTATACTTGCATCTGCAACTATTTCAGATTTTCAGATCCACTACAAGGTGAGACTCGAGAGATCATTGACATTTAAGAAAATCATAGGTGTCTTCTGGCCTTAAAAAAGTTGGTTCTGCAATTAAAATATTCATGGTGATGCTATGCTCTTCAACCACTTGTCTGGTTCATTAGCTGACAATTAATTACTTCAGTTTGCTCCAACACTATATTCTTTCCCCTGTAGCTTGTGAGCATTCATTGCTCCTCATTTTTCTGCGGATTTGCTCTTCTTCTTTTTGGTTAGGGTCCCATTGGCTAGATGAAATAAATGCTAGAAAATGAAAGTGATATGAAGAAAAAGAAAATAACTTTATAAGTTTTATTTGGGCAGCCAATTTTTTCAATAAATTTGTGAGAAAATTTAGTTTCATAATTTGAATAACATGAAAGTTGGTAGAAAATATTATGAATTACTTAAACTGTTCATTTTATATTAAATATGTAGTTCTAAATAAATTTAAATTTAATAAATATTTTTATTTTTTTTAAAATTAAAAGTAATATAGGAATCTAAATAATAAAAATTTGTTATAGGGAGAGAAGGAGAGAGGGGAGGGTAAATAAACAATTTCATATAGTTTTCTCAATAGAGCAAAACTTTTCTGAGTTTTTTGTAGAAAATTTTTGTGAAAAGTTAGATGGTTATAAAAATTATTTTTTCACAAAATTTTCTTTTCTTCTTAACCAAACTCTTCAGTTATTTTTTTTTTTTTTTTTTTTTTTTTTTAAATCCCCTCACACAATTATCATTATTATATTTTCTATTTGTATTTTACCAAATCTCACTCAAAAAGGAAATTTCACATAGGAATGACAAAACTTAGGTTGTTGTGCCTCATGTTGACAGAGTCCATTAGGGTGCAACCCCTTTAAATGTGGTCCTTGCAGCTTGCTGTACCTTGATGAAAATTTTGGTTGTATGAGAGGTATGCGAAATAAATAATCTAGGTATCCAAATTATTAATGGGTTGCACTGAAATAAAAATCGTAACAATTATTCATTATTCATTAGTAGCCGTTGAAGAGGGATTTTGCGCAATCCGGATCTGATCTGATTTCCTGAATAAAAAGAAGAAAAAATGATTCTATAGGCACCGGTGTCTTATTGGTGAAATAGAACTATTGAAGAGGGATTCTGCGCAACCCGAATCTGATCTGACTTACTGAACAAAGAGAAGAAAAAGTAATCCAAGAAAATGAGTTGGGATATGTTTCATACCTTAAAACGGTCAATTAACTCCTTTTTTTATAGAGTTTAGGTCAGGATGTAACGTCGAGTTACTGTCGTAATTTATGAGAGTAGTTAGTTTTATCATTATCGTAATCTATAAAATCTATCTTAATCTTCTAAGATAAAGCGTTAATTTAACAACCTTACCTTATACTCGGGTATTTAAATTTATTCATTCATTAGTAGCCATTAGAGCTACATAATAAGGTATGTGAAATATTGGTTAAAGAATATAGGTACCCAAACTAATAATGGGTTCCACTAAAATAAAAATAAATTGTAACAATCATTCATTAGCAACTGTTAGGGCTACATAATATAATACGTGGAATGATTAGTGAAACAAATAATCTAACTATTCAAACTAATAATGGTTTCCACTTAAATAAAAATCATAAAAATTATTCATTTTAGGATGGATACATAATAAGGTGGATTGGTAACTATTTACTTAGTACGTGAAACAAGAATATATTAAAAAAAATTATTTTCTTATCCAGTTGATATCCAAAATGGACATTTAATGCACTTGACCAGTATAATGTATACAGTACTCGAATAGGAGATTTGTTGGTTAACAAAAAAAAAAAATGTTATTAGAAATAAAAATAAATATCTAATGTCCACCTTTCTATTTTTAATGGTCCCACTGCAAGAAAAGATGGGTATAACAGTAAAAAATTAGCAGCAAATATTAAAAAATACTGTTAAAAAATCTTTTTTAAAAACACTTTATAAAAAATGCCATCGGAAGTTTAAAAAAAAAGGATTAATTACACTCACACTCTTGAGATTTGTCTTATTGACAGTCAGATGAAAGATAGTCATTTTTTGAACAATGACACCCCGTCAGATTTTGCATCCAAACAAAGCCTAAAAAGGAGTAAAATATCTGCATTACCCTTTAATACTTTATTCATATTTAATCTAAACTATCAAAACCATTAAATTACCGAAATACCTTCTTTTATTTTAGGAAAAAAGAAAATTAACTACACCCACCTACTTTCTCTCTCTAACCTCAAAATCCTCAACCCACTGTCGCCACAACTCACATCTGCCACCGCCACAACCTCCACCACAACCGCCACCTCCACCCGGTTTTTTATTTTTCTCTCTCCACTCAACCGTCGGATCGCAATTCTCCTTGGTTAACGCTACTTCTCCGCCAATACGTCGTTTCTCACTGTAGATTTTACTCCATCAGATCAAGAAGAGCCCAACAAGTGTAACAACCCAGTTCTGTGTGTGTGTGTGTATATATATATATATATAATTTTTTTTTATTCACAAGAAGTTTAGAGGATTTGTGGTGACGAGAGGTGATGCACAGAGAAGAGGAAAGATGGTTGCTTCGATCCGACGAATATTCCGATCACTACCTATAGTCTTGTTTGAGCCCGAAGATTGATGTTGGCTTGGAGAGTTCACTGTTCACGAATGCTGCATCGTCATGCTCGCCGAATCCGTTGAACATATTGTCTTATCCCAATCGACACTATCAAAATCCAGCGTAACGGCAATTTGGTTTTCATTACCATATTCAACCCTCACTCTCCGGAGTTGACTAACCACCATCGGCCCTAGGTATATTAGTTGGTGAGCACTGGTGTTGTTGGCGGCGGCAGAGAAAGTTGCAGTAGCCATTTAGGGTTTCGGCATTTGTTGTTGGCTACTTAGGCTTTCAATTGCAATGGTCACTTTGGTGTTTGAGGATTTGCAAATCGTTGATCAGCGATTCAGGGTGATCGATGATCATCGACTTAGGGTGTTTTGCATTGGTGGGAGTTTTCAATGGGTTGCAGGGAATAGAGTTTGAAGATGATAAATAACGTGTTTTGGTGGTATAGATTACATGAGATTTTTTTTTAGGTAATCAAGATGTTCAATCGATTGTTAATGGAGAGGAGGTGGCCGACGTACTTTGGAGTGGTCATGTTTGGTGTTGTACATGGGGCTATGGTGGTTCTGGTGGTGTGCCGCCAGTGGTCATGTTTGGTGTTTGACATGGGGTGCTATGCTGATGGCGGTTGTGGTGTTGTGATGCAAGTGGAGATGGCAACCACCCTCTTCTTCTTCCCTTCCTCTTACCCCATGCTCTCTCTGTATATCTGTGTATATATATATATAAAAGGTGGGGATGATATATATAATTAAATGTATATAATATATATATCTGATAGGTAGTTTGGTAAATTAAAATTAGTGAGAAGGTTAAATCGGTAATTTTAATATTCTAATGGTTCAATTGACAAGTCAAAGGGCATTTTAGTCATTTGATAAATGTCAGAGTGTTCAGGTGTGCCTTTGTCAAACTCAACAAACTTGAGGGGGTGTCATTGTTCAAAAAATGTTTATCTTTCACTTACCTGTTAATAGGGCAAACCTCAGGGGGTGTAAGTGTAATTAACTCAAAAAAAAAATGCCACCCACATTTTTTATTTTTATTAGGGAAAATTACATATAAATGGAGTTAAAATTTCATATTTACTTAAAGACTGAGTCAAAGTTCCATATTTTTCTAAAATGGATTGCTGAGGTGGCACATGGTTTTTTACTGTTTAGAAAATTGTGGTGCCTAAAATGCCCTTCCCTAACAAAAAAGTAGTACCTTCAGTTCAAAAAAGTAGTACCTTCAGTTTAAAAAAGTAGTACCTTCGAAGAAAAAGTAGTACCTTCGCGGGTGTTTAAAAAACATGGTACCTGAACACCAAAAAGTAGTACCTTCAGTTTAAAAAAGTAGTACCTTCGAAGAAAAAGTAGTACCTTCGCAGAAGGGTATTTTAGGCACCACAATTTCTAAACAGTAAAAAACCATGTGCCACCTCAGCAATCCATTTTAGAGAAATATGGAACTTTGACTCCGCCTCTAAGTAAATATGGAACTTTGACTCCATTTATATGTAATTTTCCCTTTTTATTATTCATTTTTTTATTTTTCTTTTTTCATTTTTTATTTTCCAATTTTCAATCACTCCTCACTTTCTCTCTCTACCCCCAATCTTCTCTCTTTAGTTCGACTGGACTCTCTCTCTACCCCCAATCCTCTCTCTCGTCGCTCCTCATTTTCTCTCTCGTCGCTCCTCGCTCTCTCTCTCTACCCCACTCCTTTCTCTCTCTACTCTCACTCCTCACTTCTTCACTCATAACTATTTCTCCTAAATCAGACTGCGAACCCTAGGTTTTTCACTCTTCATCATAATTTGTTTTTATTGGATTTCATACTCAATTAGGCATTGATGTTTGTAAATACAGTAGTGCATTAGCACAATCTTCTAATTTGCAACAGTATTTGAACCATATGAATGGATCCGTTGAAATGAATCGGAGTTTGAAGGAATATCTGATCGGAGGGAGGTCGCAGCGCCGGCCAGGTCTCATTCTCGACGGAATCTCCGAGGATATGGACGAGAACTTGGATCTCTTCTCTAGGAATCGCCGGAGTATCTCCGTTGCTTCGTCCGATGAATCGGACGGTACGATTCCTCTTCATATGCACCGCATTATCCTTCTCTTTGAATCTCACTACTCCTTATTTACTTGTGGACTGTGATATTTCATTCAAAGCTGTATGATTTAGTTTAATGCATAGTTAATTTTGATCTGATTCTGTTCAATCAGCTAATTAATGCCTTCACAACTTGTTCATAATTGGGATTTTATGAAGCCAGAGCGTTTTGATTTCAGTGTTAATTTACTTTTCATTACCTAATTTTAGTTTCAGTGAAATTGGGGAGACTTTCAGTTGGTTTAGCGAAACCGTCGAGGAATGGGATAGATGATCTATTGTCATTAACTGACGGAGGAAAGCACGACTACGATCGGTAAATTGTGAATATTTTCCTTCATTGATTTGATTTATATGTACATTATTCAACTTCAGATCTAGCCTCTTTATATAGTGGTGTTAGGTGGAGTTAAATCAATGGATTTAATACAAATTATGAATCCACCTTTTACAATGTTGTCTCGTTGTTCTATATGTTGATAATTCAGTAAAACTCAACTGGCATGATAAATTTCTCAAATTTCTAAGGCCTACGTGTCTTTTTTTTTTTTTTCACCAATGCTAGTATTTTTCTGGTATAACGAAAGAACTCTGAGAGTGAACTCTTTATATGGATGGGTTGAGGATCATCTCTATTCATGCATTTTGGTATGCCTCTTTAATGCTCATTTTCTCTCTCTCAGAAAATTATCAAAAGCAAAAAAAAAAATTCTCTCTGAGAAATTTCCCAAACACTGTCTTCACTCTTACCTTCTCTTTGAACCGTAATTTTAACAAAACCAAAAATGGTTTCTTATCTTTGAGATAGATAGAATCCTCTTTTTCATCATATTCAATTTAATTTAAATTATAATTGATTATATTTATGAATACAAACACCATTATACATTACACTATCACATAAAAAAATTTTGTACTTCTAATTAATGATTTTGGAGTTGAAGTTCAACTTAGGGTTATGATTATTAATCATATTAAACGCACAAAATGTTTAATCCAACTTGCTAAAATACAAGATAAAAAAAGAAATTCATTTTGCTGCCATGTTAAAAAGTTGACATCTCAGCCTAAGGAAGGAAAGAAAAATAATAATAATAATAATAAAAGAAACTTTACATTTTTGTACAGCATTCATTGCAGTGTGGTGAAACTTGAATTAAAATTGTATTATAGATTGTTATGTGTTTTTGATTGTACCCATTAATGTTTCTAGGCTTCTTACTCCTCTTGAAATCCCACTTTTTCCTTCATCGGATGGAAATGAGTCTAAAGTCTAAACTAGCCCCAGAAGCTCCAAGAAGGTCTTCCATGGTTAGACCAGACTCTACAGCTAAGACTTCAAGGGTATGTTTTCTATGTTCTTTTGTTTTAGCTATTGAAATTATCAACCAATAAAATACATAAAGTGACTGTCTGTCTCACCTACATTTTATTTAGATAAGTTTTTGAATTTTTAGGTGTTCAGAGCTCACTTGAAATTTTACCCCATTTGATTTAGAACTTATTTTTTAAGCGAGATCCAGATTACCTTATTAAACACACTTAATTGGATAATCACTTAATTTAAATTTGGTGAATTGGGGTCTCTCATGATTATAATTTTTATAAAGTTAAATGTAGCAAATTATGACGTCTAATGATTCCATTAAATGTTTAGGACTTTATGTTCCACTGATCTGGTCTATCATGCCTTATAATTGTATCCAATGTTTACATTCTTGTGATCTATTTTAATGCCTAATAATGAAAGAGTTGGTTCTGAATCATGTTTGTAAAAAACCTACAGTGATTGCTTCCATTTCAAGGATCTTCTTTTAAAGAACTTGTTAAAATAGTTTTAAAGTACCTTGGGTTGCAGATCTCTAATATGATATTTCCTGGGAAATCAACCCAGTCCATGCTAGTCCTAAGTTTTCCAGTGTAAGAAGCACCCTAAGTTCATCGAACTCTCTGGCACATCAGAATTTGAATTTTCCAGAGTAAGAAGCACCCGAAGTTTCATTTTTGTCATCTATTGTTCTGCACTATATTTTTTTTTGTCTCTCTTATCATGTTTTATTGTCAAATTTGATCTGCAGGTCTCTACATCCATGAAGGACCTGTGGTATGATGTTTTTGGGATATCAAAGGAAAAGAAGATCCAAGAGCTGTGAAAGGGAACCAAGGTATGACTTGCTTTGGTTTTCTTTAAACTTACAACCTTCATATGCATATTCGAGTGCTCTTTCATGTGATTTAGTAATGATTATTACCTCTTTATAGTGTTTTTTGGAAACTTAGACCTTGTTTTCATCAATTCCTTCTGAAACTTGGCACTTGTACATAGAATTGCTAGATGCATTGCCTGAGAAAAGAACATTTGAGGATGGTGGTTATTTGTTTGATGATGCAAAAGAGGTACTTCACAAGCACAACATCTTTAATCTTGATTCTTATTATTTATTTGCTATCTCAAATTGTTCTAATTGCAGCATTGCTGAAAAAATCAGTTTGATTCAGAGCAATTTGAAAAGATCCTGGAGTTTTGAAGATCTGGGATCGATAGTGGAGCTACCCTTGAGACTGGAGGTGAGAGATTTGGTACCAAGGGCTACTATATCGCGCCCACGGTTTTCTCTAAAGTTCTGGTATATCTCCTTGCTCCATAAATAGTTAGTAAGATTACCTTTCCACTGTGGAGGTCAATGTATCATCAAAACTAACATAATTGTAACTTAAATCAGGACGACATGTTTATTTCAAAGGAGTAGATCTTTGGTCCCGTGCAATCTATCTTAAAATACAAGTGAGTCGACGAAAAATGCTCTGTATTGCCTATTATTGGAGTGTTTGTGCTTCTTCACCTTCACCATTTTATTTGCTGGTGGATTGCAGGGATCTTAATGATGTGATACGAAGGGCAAATGCCTCTCATTTATGGGCTGGCTGCTGGGGTATTTACTCAGAACCTCAGCACCGCCAACACCTTGATGCATGCATTGAGAGTTGGGGACAGTGTGGATTAACAGCTTCGATACTTTTTTTTTTCCTTTTTTTTTTGGTTGAACGATTTGATGAGACATTAAAAATCTTTTATTTCCCTTGTTATTGAGACATAGCGTCACTAATAAATGCATTGTAATTCCTTTTTTTTTTTTTGTCCTTGTGAATTGAGTTTATTTGATCAATAAATTTGGTTTATGAATGGATTGACCTTGATTATAAGAATTTGAATTTTCATTAAATTTGTTTCATTTTTTTTTTTTAAAGGAATGTCATTTTTGGCAACATTTATATTTGTTTTCATATGTTTTTCATATATGGCAGCAGATATAATTGCTGCCATCCCTATCTCGACACAGGCTATGACAGTAAATACAAACGATGCCTATAAATGCTAATAAAATTGCTATTAAAGACTAGTTGTTGTAGTGTCCCAAAATAAGTGTGTATTTGAAAAGTCAATGTATTATTTTTTGTAATATTATCATTTTAACCTTGTTGAATTGAATTTATAAAAAATAAATTATCACATCACTATGAATTTATTTGATAATTTATTTACTCTTCTTAAAAAGTTAGATTCCTAAAAATTAAAATACATGGAGTAATAACTAATAAGTAAAAGTGTTTTAATACCCCCAAAAAAACAAAGAGCCTGTTTATGCAATATCAACTAACAGATGGTAACAAACATAATAAACTGATGCAAGATTGAAGTGGTGCATGGACCATGAACACAATGTTCCATTAATGAAGACATTGTGTTGCTTGATCAATTCATGGGATGTACACACAAATTTTGTGTACTTAAATACAAATTTTTTAATAGTAGAAAAAATATATTCCAAAATAATAAAAAAAGGAATTAAATAAATAAAAAAAGAAAACCTAGATGTATCCTAAATATATAAAATCAAACATAACAAGCAATATATACTGAATTAAGGTGGTTTGACTGAAAAGAAAACTTATAATTGGAGAGTGAAGCCGAAAGTATAAGAGATTATTTCGAGGCTATATATGTATGATAGAGAATGTACGGACATGTAATTTGAATTAGAAAATGTATAATATTATATTTTGAATAAATAAATAATAATAATAATCCATTGACAGTGAGGACAGCACACGAAAACGCGGTGGTTTTGAGCACAGGAAGGAACGGTTGCATAGGATTCTCTCAAGAGGATTAGGTACCAGCCAATTGCTTGACAGTATACAATCAAACTTAGATAATGGTTGTGTGGTTGAGAATTATTATTATTATTATTAAATAAGTTACGGTATCTAACAGGAAACCACCAAGCCTTTTGTTTTGTATTTCTTCACTCTAAATAAATAAGATTTCAAGTACATAAAAACTAACACGTATAAGTTTACTTAGAACATCTTCAATGCTAAAAGATATTTTTAATTGTCAAATTTATATTTTGACAGGTGTTACAGTGTCAAAATGCTACATTTTAGCAATTCTGTTCTAATGGTGCATTTAATACAAAATGCTATTTTTTTGACACAATCATTATTCTTTTTTAATTATCATTTCCACCATTCATATTTGTATCAGTAATATTAATATTAGGCACATTCCAAGTCAAGTTGTAGATATCAGAAGGAAACTAAAATTAAACATAATTAAAAAGAAACAAAAATCTAAAATATTTGGTTATAAAAAGACCCAATATATATATATATATAAATATATGTATAAATTTATATATTTGATTATATTGTTATATAATTTTTTTTATATAATTCTTTTTTTCTTTTTCGGAAATTCATATATTGTGTGTGTGTGTGTGTGTGTTTGAGAGAAATTTTGAGATTTTTAAAATTTGAGAGGCCAAATGAAAGGCTATTGGAGTAGCTTTTTTTACCCATTTATCAAATTATGAGTTTGAGAGCTCAAAATGGAAGAGCATTGGAGATGCTCTTAGATCCATTGTAGTGTAGTGGTATTGGCTTGCTTGCTCAAACCAATGCACAATTCCTCACAATTTAAGATAAACACAAAGCTAGCGAAATAATAATAAATCGGTGATGGACGAAGAAAGAAAATCAGAGCTTCTTTGGAGGATGTTGGAGATTGTTCAGATAGATAGATGAAAACAGATCATGCAACACACAGTCTCCTCCGAGGCTGGTGAATTGCCCGTGACAAGGGTCCATGTGTCATGTATGAGGTCCCGGATAAACTGAAGACACCTATAATTATGAAAAATGAAAAAGAAAAAAAGACACCTATAATTCATTCTGAGCCACTAAAATGTGTGTCGCATCTTTAATAATGGCAACAGCTTGCTTATGTCCTCAAAAGTTGAATAATTGTACTTGTGGGGGCAAACTGAATAAAAGATACCATCACAAGGTCCACTAACACAAATTATGAGGAAAAATTCTAAGGGATATGAAATATTTTGAATTAATTATAATGACACTCTTTGAAATTTTAGGGAAACAATATTTTTTGAAAACAAGTTCACCATGCCCTTTTGCAATCACTATTTAAGGCTATGATAGTGCATTTTTAATTGAGAAAACTACCAAAGATAGAGAGGGGTTGTTGTTATTGTATCAGTGGGGTTATCTTCTGATTGTCAGTCCATTGTCAATTTCAATCCTGCTGTTTCCCTTTCCTCTACTTTTCTTGATGATATCCAAGTTTTGTTGAAACAAAGCCATCCTATAATGGCAATAAACCCAAAATAAGACCCCAAAGCTCAAATAGCTCAAAAGCATAACTATCAACATGAGTACTAATAAAACTCCACCATGTCTTCATAATCATCAAGTAAAGGAACACAACCATGTCTTCACAGTGATGTTTGGACAGCAGGTAAATCAGAACAGAACTTCGAGCAACACTTCCAATCTTGCATTCTAACTTCACAGTGAGTATAACTCAAGTATTTCTAAGCTGAGAGTATCATATAAGTAGCCAACTTTGAGCAGAAGAAGTAGAGCAGGCCTGTACAAAGAGGTTGTAAAGGTTTGGTTCATTGGTATTATGTCTCAAATGTGAAGATTTTTGCAATGTAACAGCAGTAAGCCTTACTCTGGTGCATGAACCGGTAGCCAATTTGGGAACTGGTACCAGAAGTCCTTCTTGAATCGGTACCAAATTTGGGAACCAGTAGCAAGAGTCCTGACAGCATTAGAACTTTCAGTTTCCTGCTCTAATTGTTTCATTTTTTATTCCAACTTCCTTCCAAATCCTATACACAAAATTTATCATATTTTCTGAGAGATTATGACTTTCTAAACTCTATATAAACCTTGTCATATACATTGGTTTATTCATAACTTTAGGGAAAATCAATTCTATATTTTGAGTAAGCCTTTAGAAAGAGAAAAATTCAGAAAATCAAATCTAATTATTCTGAATTTATTTATGAGAGCACACACATATATTCATGAGTGATTTAGTTGTGTTGTTCTCTATCTCATCGGAATTGGAGCTTTATTGAAGATTCAGAGATTCTGAATGAAGAACATGATTTAATTCTTCTACAATCGAGTTTAGATCTTGAAGAACAAAAGTAAACGCTATCACACTTTGAAAGGATTGAAGCATTCGAGGAGTGTTGTTTGATTTACCTGCTACTCTTTTAAAAATATTAAGCATAAGACTGAGGTCAAGTTGTTGTTGGACGGGGAGTCGCAAAGCCAGAGGATTGTCAGCAGTTGGTGTTTGGTAGAACGATAGGGTGTGAGCCAAAGTCAAAGTTCGGTATACTTTGTTTCAAACATAGTGGATTGGTTTACTTTGGACTGAATAGTCCATGAGGTTTTTCCAATGCAAACAGTTGACGTATTTTATCAACTGGGGTTTCCTCGCTAAAAATCCTGGTGCAATCTCTCTAACTCTAACTTGCTTTACTTTACAGTATTTATATTTATGATTGTGGATGTTTAAATTGTTTTTATAATTTAATCAATCATAAATTGAGCAAGTTGACCTAATAATCAGATCTAGGTCATTAAAGGAATTAATCACAATTGAAATCAACTAATAGTTTCCGCACCCCGCATAACTCTTATTTTCACAATTTGGTATCAGAGCGGGATACTCGATATACAGAGTAGATCATATTTGTTAATTAATTGTTGATTTTTGCATCATGTCTGAAAATTCATCTGTTGATGCTTTACCTCCTGTTTTTGATTCTGTCACAAGCATGCAAATTTAGTGGTCAAAGTTTAAAAAGGATTTTGAAAAATTGTTAGAGAAATTGAATCTTACGGAACTTGATAGAGATATTTATATATTAAAAGTTTCTGTCTTTAATAAAAATTTGGAAGAAATTGGCCATAAAAATTTGAATCTTCTTCATAAAATTGATTTTCTGGAAATGGAGCTTAAGAAGGTAAATTTGTTTAATAAATCACTGAAACTTAAAATTGATAATTTAAATCAAAACAGTCTTTTTAGAAAGTTGATAATGACACTTGCAAAATTAATAAGTTGAAAGGAATTGTTAAAAATGTTAGGAGTAACAAAGATTTGACATCAACTTTAAAGGATTTGTATTTTCAAAATTCTTAATGTTTTTGTGAAAATTCAAACCAAACCTTGTGTTATTTTTAATTCTCCTAAATTTATTTGAACATGTCATTTTTGTGGTAAAAAAAGGCATATCAAGTATAAGTGTCAGAAAAGAAAATTTGAACTAGAAAAGAATTGAAAAATCTAGAAAGTTCAAATTTAAGGAATAAGAAGATTAGGATTGTTGAGCTTTGTGACACTTTGCTTAGAATAATAGGAAAATCATTGCATAATGAATCTAAAATTGTTTGGGTAAAGAAAGAGAATTTTAAATGCTTTGCCCATACACACAGCAATTGGAGCACTTGGTCCATGTGGTTACACTACAAGAAAATTGATGTTTTACAACTGTAATTGACGACATGCATAAATAACGACATGCATAAATAACAAGCCTTCTTATGTGCTAGTTTACGACTTATGTTTCAGGTAAGTCATTAAAAGCTAAAACATGGTTATATTAATGGCTTGCACTTATTGCACTTTGAATTTTCCTTTTAAGACCTGCATTTTCTATTATAAAGACTTGTATGCTATATCGTTAATATTGGGCCCAAACTTTCTTCAAAGACCACCACTTTCCCTCTAATATTTGGTCCCAAAATTCCTTTGAAGTCCCATTTTCCCTTCTATATGACTTTAAGGAAAAAATATTCCCGCACTATGATAC